CTCCGGCGGCGGGGTGTGCGGCGGCGGCGGCTTCGGCTCGGGGCTCCAGGGGGGTGGCGGCGGCTTATATAGGGGGGCGGCTGCTCCGACTTGGGGAAGGGGTCGGGCGGCGGCGGCTCGGACTCCCGAGTCCGGCGGCGGCACGGCGGGGAAGGCGGTGGCGCGGGCGGGCCAGCCTGGCTCGGCTGGGCTTCGGCCCAGTCGGGCGCGAGGAGTTTTTTTTTTCAAAAATAATTACGCCGAACTAAAAAAAAAATTTAGAAAAATAAATAAAAATCTAAAAATACCGAAATAAATTTTCGTCGTCCAAATAAAATATTTAGAACGAGATGAACATGTTTTTGCTCCTAAAAATGAAATTTTGAAAATCATGCAATTTTTCCTAAATTCAAATAAAATAGCCAAAACATCAAAAAAAACCTTTATTTGATTTTTCCTTATTAAATCCTCATTATTTCTTTATTTTGGGAAAGTCATTTTATTCCCTCTCTCATATTTTAATGCTCGAAATAATTAAAGATAAAATAAATAAAATCAAATGATCCTATTTTCAAGATTTTGAGAAAAACTCAAATACGAAAATAACGAAATCCCCAACTCTCTCCATGGGGCCTTGAGTTGCGTAGAATTTCTAGGATCAAGGCAAAATGCAAATAAAATATGTATAACATTCTAAATTGAAAATTTGGGATGTTACAGGATGTGACTGAGAACACATAAAAAATTTGTCTTGATTTCTTTGACATTTTCAAAATTATTTTTGGGCCTGGGAGCCTAATTAAATTACCGTTGTAGTTTACGCTAACTAATCATGGTCGTGGCTAAATGTCTCCTTCACATCGGACGCCTCTCTGTACGTACGTCCTTTAAGTCCACACAAATCCATGCAATGCAATTAGGGATACACTAGTCGTCAACCCGTGCTACTGCACGGGCTAGAAATTTTTGGAATATTATAATATTGTACATATAGAGGTTTTGTATCTATTGTTTTTCCTAAAATCTTGTACAACTTAGAAATAGAAAATACTTATATGAAAATTATACTACCTATTTTCTTCTTTGTGTCAAAGCCAGAATAGGCTCCTAATTTTAGCAACTACTAAACCCATAGATGTGTTTTGTTTTTAACATTATTATATGTATACCATCTATGATTTTTCTCTCTCCCGGTTATTACTGGCACGGTCGTTTCATGGTTCCACATGCATGAGTGTGGTTAAAATATTCCATTAGAACAAGGTGCATCAACAGTTTTGCAAGGTTAGTTTATGTCGATCACTCTTCATCTCGTCCACAGTCCACACATCCATATCTAACTCATTGCTTCCCCTGCCAGCCGAGTGCTTATCAGTTCAACATGTCGGTGAACTCTGCGCTTTGATAAGGATCGCAACTCAATTCAAGCATATCTTGTACTTTTAAAATGTCTGCAAAATCGCTGAACTTTTTTAGGTTTGTTTTAAACAATGGGCTTTCGGATGCGCTTTCACTATTTAGGAATTATGATTTTAATGTAATCCAGGGTTTGTTTATTAATATGTTTGCGACACAAATTTTCACTTTTTTACACAACTGTTTTTTATTTTCAAAAAACTATGTGCATGTACCAAACGTATTTGGGAGTATATATGAGTGGTGACTTTTAGACGGCATTAAATTATAATTTTCATTAATTAAGTGCTCTCACATTATTGTGGTGTTATTCCTTAAATATAACACTTACACGGCATGCCCAGACTTCCGAAAAAAAAAGTGAGTTTTCTCATACGCGTGCATAATTTAGCAATTTTAATTTTTTTTTACACAATCTAGGATTTCTTTTATTATATATTGCGACATATATTTCAATTTTTTGACACTGTTTTTTTTCATTTTCAGAAAACCATGTGCATGTCCCAAACGAATTTTGAAGTATAGATGTGTGTGTGATTTGTAGACGGGGTTGATTTTGTTTGTACATGCATATATCCCTAGTGTTTCCATGGTCCCGCTGCTTTAATTCATTTTTGAATATCAATGATGCGTCAATTGAGGTTTACTAGCATATATGCCCGTGCGTTGCAGCGGGAGATAAAATAGTATGCATTTAAAGTCAGTGAGAATTATAAGTGCAAGCAAAACCCCGCGTGCACACGAAAAAGCAACATTTAGTTTCTCGGTTTCGCCGCGTGTGGAGGAATCAATCCGCTATTTTTTTTCAATCATTGGTCGAGGGCATTTAAGAGGTTTGTTACGTCATAGTACGCCAGAGAAGACTAGTGAGTTATTAAATTTACTCTTCTTTTCAATCATTTCAATCGAGGGGATTTAAAGGTATGAAGTTTCTGAATATTCTAGCAAACATGAATAATTTTTAAAATGCTGAACAGTTTTTTTAGTTATGTACACTTTTGAAAAAGCACAAACAAAATATGAAAGGGGACATCTTTTAAAATTCACAAGCATTTTATAAAAACACCAAAAAAAATATGAAAACATGAACATTATTTGAATTTGAGAACATTTTTTAAATGTGAACATGTGTTGAAACTTCATAAGATTTTTTAAAAATGTGTACCTTTTAAACACAAACATTATTTTTAATTTTGAAAATTTCAATAAAACATGAATATTTTTCAAATTTGTAGTACTTTTTGAAATGCCATTTTCTTTTTAGAAATCTTGATCAATTTTGGAAGACAATAAAAAATAAAAAAATGGGCAACTTTTCACAAGTTTCGAATATTTTTTGAAATAGCAATAAAATTTTGGAATTGTGAACATTTTCCAAAAAAAAATCCTGAACGTGTTTTGCGAATTTTTAACTTACGAAATAAATTCTAAAAGAAAAATAAACTTTGAAAGAAAAAATAGATAGAGAATGAAGAATAAAAATAGAAGTAAAACACGGAAAAAAATGGGCCAGCCCATCAGCTATCAACGGACACGTCGAGAGTGCCCATGTGTAATGTTTATTCAGCGAGTGTTTGTTGTCAGCTGACTGAATAAAATCTAAGACTTCTTTTTACATCAAAATAGGATCTAAGACTTAATTGTGTATAATAACTACTCTCTCCGTTTTAAAATAGATGACTCAACTTTGTACTATGTTAGTACAAAGTTGAGTCATCTATTTTGGAACGGAGGAAGTAGATGATACCCCGCATGTTGTTGCGGAAATATCTTGCAACATTTTCAGTGTGATTTGTTGTATGAAACATGACTATTTAAGTAATAATGTAAAAGGCTAAAACTGAAATAATTTATTATGTTTGTAATGTATAGTTGTAAAATGTTAATTAATTATTAATAGAATGAAAATTCCCATGTATGTTTGCATGTTGAGATGGGTATTTTTTTCATGCATGTTCCATGAAGTTGCATGTTTGCATGTTGAGGGACATATGATAGTGGGGGATGTGCCTTATCTCATGCATATTATGCGATGATGTGGCATGCTTGGATGTTGAGAGAAATACTTAGTGGGGGGCTAGCTATTTAGATATACTCCCTCCGTCCGGAATTACTTGTCGCAGAAATGGATAAAATTGGATGTATCTAGAACTAAAATACATCTAGATACATCCATTTCTCCGACAAGTATTTCAGGACGGAGGGAGTAGAAGATACAACCCTCAGGCGCTTTTCTCACGCGAAAAGATAATAATAAGAATGATAGTGTTTGTTCATTTGTGATCAACAGTGGTCTTATATGCTACTCTGCTCTTTTGCTTCAACTTGCCAAGATAATCAAGATCAAAATCCCACAACTACTAACTACTGGAGTAGGATAAAAAAAAAGAGCTACTGCCTAGACAATGAATCTCAGATGCCAAGATCATTGGCGTGTGCTCGCGAGCAAAACGCACTTGAGTCCGTACTTTACGTGCTCCTATGTGCCCAGGCGGCCGTCGAATCCCACATCAGGATCGACCAGCTCCGATCTTGTCGAATCAAAGACCTCGCATTGATGATCAAACGCGCTTGGACACCAACCCCATTGGTCATGTGTGCGCGTATAGAAATTAGAAAACGAATGGAGATAGATTCATATCATTCAAATTCAGATCACGGAGGAGGGAACTGTCAAAAGATATTTGCACTGATGAGCACGAAGTAGCTAGTTGGGTGGGCACCGGAAGCCCAGATTCAAATTCAAATTCGAAAAGTGGAGGCGCTAACCACCTTCTTCTTCTTTGTTTGTCGCTTTCTGTTTCGCCTCGGAAAAGATTGCTACGGAAATAACCCTACGACCGCGACGTAATTACACAAAAAGCCCTTTTTCAACTCCTAGTAGCCTCCGTATCCCGTCGCCTCCGACGACGGCGACTCCGACTCGCCGCCGTCGTGGTGCCTCTTCCTCTTCTTCTTCGCGGCAGGGCCGGCGGCCTTCCCCTGTCTCTTGGCGGCGTGGAGCTCCGACAGCAGGCGGTACCTCTTCCTCGCCCTCCTGTCCAGCTCCATCGACCCCGGTGACGGCGCCGTCTCCCTGGAGATCCGCGGAGGCTCCAGCTCCCCCTCGCCGACCACGGTGAGGTCCTCGGGGCACGAGCTCGCCGAGCTCCTCCTCGCCCGCGACCCAAGCGATAAGGGCGCCGTCTCCTCGACGATCCGCTCCGTCTCTTCCTTGACGAGGATCTCGCAGCACGAGCTCACCGAGCGCGGCCAGGCGATGGTCGTGGCCTTCGACGCCGCGGCGGCCGCCTCGTAGTCTCTGCTGAGCTGCAGGAGCAGGTCGGCGGCCGCCAGCTCCGCGGCCGTGAAGAGGCCCCCGAGCCAGCCGAGCTCCCACTCCAGCCCGCAGCGGACGGCAAGAGACGACATGGATGGACGGAGCAGCCGCCGTGATCGGCCGCTACACTTGGCCCCGCGGCGAGAGGAGGACGAGGAGTAGGATTGAAATGGAAGAGGAGATTTTTTTTTTTCTTGTTCTGGAGATGGGTGGATGCGGATGAGAAGAAACTGGATGGAGGCGTGGGCTGCACGGGCGGCTTTATAGCGGGGATCCGGCTCGGTCGGTGTCGGGCTCGTGAGCAGCCGCGGGAGGAGACGCTGGCGCGTGGGGTCGCAAGGTTTGGGAATGGGTGGTGGTGGACGGAATCGGTCGCGCGTCACGTGAACGTTGGGTGGACTTGGACGCCGGACGCGTGGCGGCGGAGGCTGCGGGCCGAGCATATGCCGTGGGGCGTGCCTACCTGATGGATGGTGGTGATGCTCGTGTGTTGCATTCTTCTTCTTCATTGTGCCGAACTGCCGATCGTACGTGTGTGCGCTGGTGTATAAACGGATTTGGTATCCAAATAACCACCACTGCGACTAGTGGCGGGCCTAGCGATGAAATAGAGGTGCCCTCATTAAAAAAAATCAAACATAATGCAAGGGTCGTACTACAATATTTGGAAGAGATAACATAAATACGTGACAAATGGTGTTCACAATTTTTCTCTCGTCAACTGCCTCTCCACGGGTGATCGCGAGGCGATCTCTCTGCCTCCTTCCTTCGCCAGTGTGGCCGCAGGTCCTTTGGCCCCTTGGCCACTGCTTTGGCAGCCCGAGGGTCGGGGACCCCGGCGACTAGATAGGATAGGCATAGTTTTTCTCGGTGGCATTGAATTGGTAGTGGAATCGATGCCGCATTGAAATAAGATGGCTCTGCTTCTTCCCCACCCTGGTGATGCTTCAATTGGCAGTGACGGTAAGCAAGTAGCACATGTGTCTATTGGACCTCGGTTTGATAATGTTAGGTTGTGGTGGCTGATGCTTGGCGTCTTGTCGGGCGACAACGTCGGCTGGTGCAAAGTATGCGGGTGTCTTGGAGTGTGGTGTGTGGATGGCGGCTTGTAGCGACGCTCTTCTTCTTCGACCACGTTGTATGAAGGCGATGTCGTCGGGATCTGGCAGACTTGGGGATGATACCCGACCAACGTGCCACAAAGACTCGGTTCCATCGCCTTTAACGGACCGTTTAATTGGCTCACAAAGCAGCGTTGCAATAGAGTTCTTCTAGATCTGGGGTGTGGGGGTTGCTCGTGTCTTTCTTCGGTGGTGTCATGGTGGCGGCGGTGATCGATGATGGATGATGATTAGGTTGGGCATATGGATCTTCCAAAGTAAAGTTGTAAAAATATATATTTTTGGAGCCTTTTGTGCAAATCTTCAAGACACTAGACCCTCTGTTTGTCTCATGGAGTGACCACACACACACACTCATTGTAATTAGTTTGTTTAATGAACATGTGGTAATTCCTCCCAAAAAATATTTGGCAGCTCGACATTTGCTGAATAAGAAGGCGTGGCGAGCCCGCGAGGGGAGGGGAGCAGGTGAGCGCGGGCCAACGTTTTCCTCGCAGAGGAGCAGGGGAGGGGAGGGGCTAGAGTAGGAGCCTGGGAGGAGCCGATTAAGAGAATTAGGTCTCTCGCCCTGGTGACGAACGGATGTGGATGAGTGCAAGAGTAGTGTTGGGTAATTGAGCTGCTACTTTTGGGCTGAAATAGGCAAAATAGTATATGACGATAGAAGTTGATTTCTCAAAATTTGAAATGGACCACTGCCCACCCGGGCGAGCCTAATGTCTACCAAGGATGACGACGATGACGGACTGGGCTCTCGCATCGAGAGGTTGTGAGAGTGTCCTTCTAGCACCATATTTGCCTCTCGCGCTTTGCGCTCTGCATGTAGAATTCATATATCTTGTTCTCTCCGGTTCGTGCAATGAGCGAATGACAACACGTCATGCGTTGATTTCATTCTTAGTACTTTGTTATGGGGCTTGATCAGCGCTCGAGGATGCTCTGTCATCCACCGTGGCATATATTGAGGATGAAGTCACGAGGTGTTAGTTGCCGCCAAAGTCTTTTTCTTTTTTGCTTTAATTGCCAACCTACACCCATTCCCGCGTGTCAAATACGCTCTTATATTATGGGACCGAGGGAGTATCTTCTAGCTATATTTGTGCATAATGGAATTTCTTTGGGGTTGACGAGTGCCTCATATACACTGGCACACGAAAAGTATGCAAAACAATCATCTGCTAATTCCTTTATTTGGAACAAACCCCTTAACCGACTAGGATTACAATGAGCAATGGCTTAGAAGAGAAACCGACATACCCCCTCCCC